GCATAATATAAAAGAAATGAAAGCATAAAAGCACAATATAAAAGAAATGAAAATAAAAATAGCAAGATAAAAATAATAAAAAAATAAACCCCCACACCCTGGTGACAACACACATTCATACCAGGCACTTTTAATGGGCTCCATTCCACTCTGGTTTCCTCAGACCCGTGGCAGAACCACGTCTTAAGGGCCTTCTGAAAGAGGGTTAAAGTGGGGGCCAGTCTAATTTCCACAGGGATGATGCTCTAGAGAGAGGAAGCTACTACAGAGAAGGCCCTTCTTCTGGGTCCTACCTGAGGTATCTCCTTAGGGGAGGGAGTGGGTCAGGTAGATGTGATCCGCACGAGACGATCCCTCAGATATTGTATTTAATGTATTGTTTATATTAATATTGCATTTATTTATTTTGCAGAATGGCATTGAAGGTAGATGTGACACAACATACCTCCTTCAAAACACCGAGAAACCAGATGAATTCTTGGTGACCAAATCCAAGGATTTAACTAATTGTGATAACAAGGCTAAACAGGTTGTTGGTGTTGCATATGTGATTCCATGTGAGTTCTGCAGACAGGTCAGTACTATTAATGGATGTGTGTATGTGTGTAGAGAGATAGATGTTAAAGACATGTTAAAGATATAGAGATGCAGAGAAGAAGGCAAACAATTTTAGTAAATGATTGTTATTAAACATAGATATACTATAGATATAGATATACATTATATATTTTTATAATTTTATCAGAAGTTTTTAAAAGGAAGATAAAAACTAATACAAACTAATATAAAGTAAGAAATAAAAATCATTGCCAAATTTTTCCATCTTTGTGCACCCAATAATTCTGCAGTAATTATCATGCACAAAAAAGTTCCAAGATTTTTTCTAACTGTTTGTCCATCTGTCCCAAAAGAAGACTTCTTGTACGTTAATCTTTAAAATGGTGCAAATCAGTGCACGTATTTGAATCTAGAATTTTCTAGCTTTTTTATATGTCCATCAAGCATGATAAAATATCCCTTCTTGCTTTTCACCTTTCCAACAAGAATTTCAAATATGTTTATATATTTTAGATGATTTCTCTGGTAACAGATACAGTACCAACAATGCACCATTTTATAAAAATCCTCTTTAAGGTTACAACATAATGTAAATTTCAGTCTTCAACCATATCTTTTCCCATTCCTTTGTATATTGTCACCAAAATGTTTAGCCCATTTTTTCATACATTATTTCACTCGTTCTTTTTCCAAGTTATATTTCAATAGATGTTGATACATTTTAGCAATTACATATTCATCATTTGTGTGTAATTCCATTTCAGACTCAACCTTACAACGTTCAAAATGATAAACTATTTTGTCTACTTTAAACCTTTCTAATAACTGTAAATAAGAAAACCATTGGCAAATATGTCCTTCTGATACCCATTTTTCCTTTGATTTTATTTTGTATTCCTCTTGTCAAAATTCTAGGTATTCATCTATTTAATCCAGAGAGGTGTCACTTACTTTATACAAGTTAAAACAATATTGATGAAATATTTTTTACATGGCCACACTATCTGTTAATACAATAATTCCCTTTTATATCAGTATCTTTTTCTTTTCATAATTCATACACCAACATTTTCCCTGGTTCGTTTGCAAACTCATTTTTTCTATTACACAATTCATTTCTAATTCTATCTCTCTAATTGCTAACATGCATAGCTGTCCTAGTAAATCTGTTTATAAATACTTAGATGTAAAATAGATAAGCCATTTTAAGTATGCAAGCAGATTCATTGCTATTTATTTACACACAATTCTATAATTGCCGCTATATTAGATTTTGGTTGCTGCAATTCATCATATGGCTTGACCCGTTTTAACATATAGTCACATATTGCAAAAGAGAGAGAGAAAGCAATTATGTCAATTAAATATTACTAGCATCCCTTTTTAATATAAATTTAATGAAAGTTTGAAAAACAAGAGTAAGAATTAATATAAACTAAAACAGAGTAAGAAGGAAAAAATAAAAAGGAAGACATAAAAAAGAAAGCTAAATGGCAAAAAGAAAAAAGTAGAACAAAAATAGAAAAGAAAGAAAAATATATACAGAAATCGCTTCCAATATTCTTTACAGCAGTTATAAATACAATTTACCTCTTTCTTTAAAGTTATACCATGACTCTTCTTACTATAATCTATCTTACCTAATCATTAAAACTTTAGATCATAAGTTCATTTTTTTTGTTTTATGCAATAAGTTCATAAGGTGTTTCCAGACAGTAATCAACATAGATACTGTCTTTTCTCTAATTGAAAGGGAACATTACTGGCATCCTGAAAGAGTTATTCATGCAGCTGTTTCCATGGGAAACATCAATTCTTAAGTTGGAAGTCTATGTCTTAAGATAACTATGTTGTCTGTATTAAATTACAGAGGAATGATTATATGATTCACTAAACTCAAAAGACAGTCCTAGCAATTCTCCTTTGATTTCCACTTTGCACCTGCAAGATATATTACAATATTCAATGTTCCATTGAATAAATGGATTGCTTGTTATCAGTGCAAACTGCAGATACCATGTAAAGGGAATAAATTCCCATACCCTCCATGTACAGTTCAAACTTTGAAAATTATAAGTTCAGTTCACTTAATTTGACACAGTGCAGTCATGCTACTATATGAAATTATTTTTAAAAGCACAGGAAAGTTGTCTCAAATTTAATTCACTGAGCTCTGCAAAGTATGACGTACTCCGCATGTCTATACAAGAAGTGTTCCAAATTAAAATTGAGTTCTATTAAAATCAATTCCAAGCTATAATTTTAACATTAGGCAAATGCAAGTTACTACAATGGTGATGACTTACAATCACGACTGAGCTAAAAAAATTCTGTTGCTACGGAAGACAATACAATGTGGTTGAAACTTTCAGCAGTTGTAAGTTGAAAACTACCTGTACTATTTATCCCATTGGAAGGCTTGAAGGGCAGTTTAGGATTGATCATCCTGGAGCGGATCTAATTTTGTGGGTGCCAAGAGATGACACTCACTTGATGACACATAATCAATCATTATGTAAACATGTAAAAGCTGGAACAATTTTAGTACAAAAATAGTAAACTGATTATCATATTCAAGATACCCACACATCTTAATCAAGCGGGGTTTCTTTTTCATTTACTTTTTTTCTTTACCATATTCTAAATCTATTTCTTTAAAAAAAATTCCATTCATGCCTGCTTATTGATTTTCCATATCCATCTTGTTCACCACTGTTTCTATCGATCATCACGACAGATAACACAAAAGCAGATCAGATAAAAGGCATTTTCCTATTCCTCACATGTTCAAGCAAGTGACAATATAAAAATTCAATTTGTTTGTCATATAAAAGGCAGAGATTCCCTTATCCTGGAGGAAATGTAGCTTGCCCAGTGTCAACTCTTATTGTTAACTGTATCCAAACAAAATTACTTTATTTGATTGTATGAGTAGTCATTCTACCACGTCTATTGCATAAATTGCTTTCTAATGACATTTTCATATTTTTAAAAGAAAAATAGGAATTTTCAAGGCACAAGTACATACAACTACAGAATGAAGGATTTGAAGGAACGGAATGAAAAAATAATCCTACATGCCACTGCTCAAGAAATTCAGCAATTCACACCATTCAGAGAAGAAACTGGAGGAAGCATCATAATGGAGGCCAGGTCTTACAATCTGTTATAATTGCTCTAAAGTTATGAATGTCTTTATTTTATGGTAGTATCTGGTTACCTACCCCTAATCTTTAAGATCTACTCCATTAGGTTTCTGGAATTGTATTTGTTAAATCCCAAATTATCATAGAGCATCATGGTTAGCTATAAATATGAAATATTGTTTATTTATTGTATCATTATCTATCCAATAATAAATATTGTCAGTAAAATGGGAAGAGTCATTTTGACACCATTTGTCCAGATTCAAAGAGGACAAGTTAACATTCACTTGTATCGGCCTGAAAACTTTATAATATTATACAGAATATTTTGTTCAACCAACTTTAAATGTTGAAAGTATTGACTGGTGTACAAAGATTTTGATTACTAAAGGATAACAATAATGAGCCACCCTATTACATACCACATCTACTTCTTTTTTTGAATAAATATAAAATAACACAAAACTGGCTCTGTGTTAATTAAGGTAAATTAATTTACCTTAGTTATGTGGGTTAGAATTAGTTTTTAAAAGAAAGGAATGTTCATTTATAGACCCACTAAAATTATAAATGTCGTGTGAACTGCTATCTCATAATAGCAAATTTCAGCGATGTTTTATGACCTGGAGATCAAGCACTATTTGAATTCAAAGATGAGCCCAATATCAAAGTGCTTAGATTTTTGTTTTAATTTTTATCAAAACAAAAACCAGCTGGTAATCAAGGGCAAAACCATAACCAGTGTTCATAATTTGTTTTCTCTTAATTTCACTGTATCTTTATTCTTTAGGCAGAAACTGGAATTCATTGAAGCCCATAGCCGCTTGCCACAAATACCTTCTAATTTGCAGAAACATGGCTCACTTTTATATATTTTTAAAGATAGTCCACTACTTCCTGTTCCATTATCAAAAATCAAGAACAGAAACAAGGAGGTAAGCTTAAAGGTTAGAAGGCAAATGGCTTTTTGCTTCCATATTTTGTAAATATTCTTGGTTCAGTGACAAAACAATATCTGAAAATGTTTTGGAGTTTGTGGTTGCTTTTATTAACCAAAAAAAAAAACCCCTTATCCAACAGATTGAGGATGGATTGCGTTACCTGGCAAATGACAATGTCCCAAAAGACGGTAAAAGATTTTTGCAACTGGTCAACATTTTGCGCACAGAAAAAGAAATTAATTATTCTGAAGTCTTTGACCCCTATTATAGCCAGCCAAAGTATAGGTAAGATAAAACAGGAAGTTATTTTATTATTGAAAGCCAACATTGGATATTTAAATCCAAATAATCACAGTTCACGCATGATTTCTCCTTTTTCCACAGAGCCATTGTTTTGGATTTGATCTCTGCTGCGGGGACTTCAATGGGACTAAGATATGTGAGGCACAAAATAGTTCAACAAGAGATCACCACAACTGAAGCAGCCCAGATATTGCTTGTCTTCTTCCATTACTCCAATGCATTTGAAGAAGTAGTTGAAGAAGCTATGGTAAAATACTGCTGTCATTTTTGCCGTTGCTATTATGATAATGTTAAAGTTGTTAACTGTTGTTATTAGCAGTAATACTCTTCCAACCGATCCTCTGTTTGTGGAAGATTGAATAGAATAATTGAAGGGAACTCTAAAACATGGCAATGCACGCAGGTTGGCTGTCTCACAGATTTACAAATAACTTCTAGATTCTAAATTCACTCTCCATATCTTGAGTGAGATTAACCTGAGTGAAATTCTGCAGATGTCAAAGCTGTTGCATCGAAGATGTTGCTGAACCGTATTTCCCAGCTTCCCTACCCAATCTTTGCAGTGGATAAGGCTCCTGGGTCAACCAACTCATCTAAAACAAACTTTCCTAATAACTCGATTAGAATTTGCATTTCCATCATCATAGACCAAATCATGAATTCTATCTTGTGTAAAAGCTAAGGCAGACTGCAAGGTGAAATACAGAAGCCTGAGTAGTATACAATATACAAAAAAGAAAATATATGGTTAGAGCTTATTCTGATTTACTCTTAAATTGGCATTAGCACATTCTGTTGACTATGCTGAATGGAAACTGTAGGAGCTGCAATTCTAACATATCTGAAATCTGCCGCTTTAAAGACACTCATATTCTTTCTTTCTAAAATGATAATACTCTCTGCAAATAAACTATGGTGATCCTCTATGTATAAGTCCTCTATGTAATTATTGACAGGCTTGCCTGAGACACTGACCCCATCTAATGGAATGTTCTTACCTGAAATCTTCAAAATGCTGCCGATATAGCAGAGAATTTGTCCTGAAATTGTTTTTACTGTATTCAAGTCTCATTATCAGATCTTGGAAATACTTTGCTGACTTGGGAAGTAATATCTGTGTCAGCTCAAGAAACTGAGCTGGATTATCCTTTTGTTTGTCTCTTTGTTTAAATGAAGCCTTGTCATAAACTCATAAATCAGGGCTTTAGGCAAGCCACTCATCTGTGATGTGGAAAAAGTGATCCTGATCAGTTCTTATTGGAAATATTGGGCTAATACATTGTAAGAAATCTTACATGGTAAGATATAAACACTATAGACAATTTTACAGATGCTAAGCAGGGTAATTGCTTTATATTTGGATCTTTAATTTCTGACTGTGATCTCGTGTGTACTTGTATCAATGTTACAGATCCACATGTTAAATATAAGCAAACAATTTGCTTTGTAATTGCAACTCCTTTAGATAGTAACAGCCAAATATTCTTTCCACAGGCCATAATGATAGAAGTTCTTAAAGGTCCACGGAGTCTCTATCGTACTACCATCTGTCTCGCCTATGGATCATTACTTTCCAGATTCTATGCCATCTCAGACACAATCCCTGACAAATATCTCAAGGTACATTGCCCAATTTCAATTCTGTTTCTTCACCTAAAAATCCTTAAACTCCAGAGTACTAACTCAGCTCAGATGAAGGAACTTTCAAATGAAAATATCTCTGTTGAATAGTTTTCAGGTGTTGCTACAAAACATTAAAATAAGATTTTTGCTTCACTGACATCAGAATTGTTAACACCAACCGGAACTGGGGGGAAAAATGAGAACAGCAGAAAACGTTTAACATTTATAAGGCATATTTGCCTAATAGGTCTCATAATAGTTTTATATGACTTGTTCATTTCTTTTATAAAGCATTTTTATGAAGCTTTTATTATTGTAAGTCACTTTTTTAAAAATTAACTGTAAGATTCCATAGCTTAATTAAAAGCAATGGTAAATGTGCCAATTATATGTGCCTTAATGTTGGCCTCTGAAGAAGAATTTTACCAATTTTTGTAGAACAACAGTTAGAATAATTATCAATGTCTTCCATACATTTTTTAATTTATATTGAAGATTATGTTACTGTATACTAGCATTGGAAGCATTATGTTGTTGTACATTAGCATTGGAAACATAGTGATATATGTATGATTTTATATATGTTTACAAATAATCATATATGGATATGAATATATATGTGTGTATATACACACACACACATACATATACGTATATATATACGTATACACTAATTTGTAAACATATATAAAATATTTTCTAGAGTTATGATAAGAGGCAGCTATGGGCATCTATAACAGTTTTCACTAGATTGTAAAAATCTAGTTAACATTTAATATAACTAAATCCTTTACTTTTCAAGAACCATATTGCATTTTTGTAAGGTTACCCCATATTGGCCAACTTAGCAATCTAGAATCATGAATCTACAGTTAGCCAAATGAACTCATCTAAACCAGGAGTGGAACATCTGCACTTCCTTCTGATGCCCCTTATTTTATATATCACTCCATCCAAGTATCCTACAAATAATGGCTATGCCTTTCCCACTTGTGGGGATACTCATAAGAGTATCTTGTGCATTTGCATTCTTGACTGGAACTATTGACTGTTCATAATACTGTAGCATGTTTAATATAACACTTTTTTTTTCTCACAGCCTCTGACTGATTTTGCAACTAAAGCCATAAGATCATCTGACATAGATGCAAGTGTCTTGGCTTTGAAAACCTTTGGCAATGTGAGACACATAATTGTCTTGAAGCCCATTATGAAGTATCTGCTAACTGCTGATCCCTCTGATATTAGAATTCAACAGAATGCTATTATGGCTCTAAGAAATCTTGGCAAAAAAGACCCTACACGGGTAAGAAGTGGTATTTTTGTTTGTTTGTTTGTTTGTTTTTAGGAGGGAGGATGATTAATTGGCTCATTTTTGCTTGTTTATTACATTAACAGTATCATGGAACTGCTGGACTAACATAAGCTGACCATAATTATGTGGCATTATTGTATTAGGCCAAAATATTTTCCAGTAGAGAGGAACAAAGCATGTAAGAATCTACTTTTCACATTGCCAGGGAACTTTCCTGAAAAAAGTGAATGGAGAAAAGAATGACATAATCACTGATGGATTCTCCTTTGGGGTTCCTTGTACAAGTTATAAGCCGTTATTCCTGCTTTCACAGAAAAGAAAAAAAATAGTGATGGAGGGAAGCAACGCAGTCACTTTGAATTATTCTGCTATTTTCTCCATAATTCAGAAATGTCCAGAAGATTCTCTTTTCAGTAAAATATGAGAGAATAAGCACCTAAATATTAGCTGGATATGATTTTTGAACACAGATAGTTTCTTACCCAAAATAGCTCCATGTTCTTTACCAGTAGGATATATACTTGCTTTAAGCCAGACATGGAATAAGGTTATTCGCATAGTCCTTAACTCATTTGCAACAGGAAAATATTCCCTAACTCATCTCTCATTCAAAATCCTCACTTCCTATAGGGAGTTTAACAGCTCAGTCTAGTGGGAAGATTCACACCAGGTATACTAAAAGATGTGAAGAATGGTACTAGGCAGCCAAAAAGCACTTGTTTATATAAATCTTTGGCAAAGACAAGAAGAGGGAATATTGAATTCAGGGACTAGCAATCCTTTTGTCTAATCAGTGTGATCTATTAAATGCCACTATTTTATGTTGGTTGAAGTCAATTTTTTACTTCATTGTGTTAGTTGCTGCTGAATTCTCTCTTGCTTGGTAAACTTTGTTTATTTTTCTTATTAACTGTACAAAATTGTATAGTTGGCAGATGGCAATGGAGACTGAATCAAATAAAAAAGCTTCATTCATGCTCTAAAATATCCTTGCTATGGACAAAAATGGTGCAACATGGAGCTTAGTTCATCCCCTTGTAATAACTAATCATCCCTGTAAATTTCATCTTTCTGGTGAAGAAAAGAAAAAAAATGAAAATATATGTTGTATCACAAATTCTTAAAACCTGTTTCTATGAAATTTAACACCCTTATCCCCCTGCCTAAAATGGACAAGTTTCTTGGAGGAAAATGTAGTTGTTTGCTTGTTTATTTGATTTCTACATTCATCCTTCTCACAGAGTGACATCTCAACCTAAAGATAATGAAAATAAAGATATTATTGCCCTTAATTGTATCTCTTTCCAGTACAGCAACACTGTGTCTTTTTTCTCCATTCTAGATAAGGAGAACCCAAATCTGGCTTTTCCAGTTCAAGCTCTTAATCAGGAACAAGCAAGAATGGGCTCCCAATCCTAGTTTTAACATAAGATCAATCTGTTACTTTTCAAGGCCACAAATGTTTCAGATGGTATTTGCACAACTCTAATATTTCCTATCTATTTTGCACAGGTACAAGGAATTTTACTTCCAATAATCAAGAATTACAAAATTGATTCTCTAGTCCGAACATGTGCTGCCTTTGTCCTTCTGGAATCAAAGCCTACTTTCCCTATTCTGATGACCTTAGCTAATGCAATGTTACATGAACCTAGTATACAGGTTGAAAACTTTGTCTTCATGTACCTCAGCACAATAGCCGGAAGCCGATCTCCTGAATTCCGAGTGACGTAAGTCTCAAAAAAATGTTTTTAAGCACAAATGACAAAGAGTAGACTTCAACGTGAATCCATCCTTTCTCTTTCAGGGCTCCTGCTTACAGGATGGCTCTCAAAGTACTAACTGAAAAAAGTCAAAGATGGGCAGGTCATTCGGTCAGCAGCTATTCCCTCATTGAATACTTTGATGGTAAGTAACATATTGTCTTCTACTATTATATATTACTTATAACCAAACAGTGACATAAAATACCTCTCTGTAGCATTTTTGTTTTTGTTTTGCCTCCTTGAAATTAATCTTGGCCCCTGGTGGCTGCAGTCTTCTTGGCAAGATTTCAAAATGGGTTTCCATTGCTGAATGAGAGAGAGATTTTTTTTAACTGGCAACTGGCACTGTCCCACCCCCTGAGACCCTTGTACAATTTGCACACTGGACTGCAGTAGTCCTGCCAACATTTACTAAAATTGTTTCTTTTTTTAACCATAGGGTAATATCAAGGCATTCTAGTTCTAGATTTTTTTTCTTAGACATAAAGCTATAAACTCATTGACCAAGCCCTTCCACACAATGACCAATCAGGACTCTCACATCATTTTCTGCATGACCATGCCCATTCTGTCCTCCAGTAACACTAGCCAGCACTCATTCAATGGAAGAGTGGAACCTAAATAGCCAATCTCTTTTCTTGTTGCATTTGCTTTTTGTCTCCAGAAAAAAAAAAAATACTTGAAATAGCAGCAAACAGGAGTTTTGCAAACCTCCAAGCCATTGGTGGACGTCAGGGCAATCAAAGCATGATAGAAATTCCTTGAGTTTCAAATGATTTCAGATGAGGAATGAATTCTTGCTACAGAGGGAACATCAAGGGCGAATAATCTTTTTGACTAGAACCAAGACTGACCATCTAGTTAACTGTTTAGCTTCTCAGGCTACACCCAAGGTCACAATAGCATTGGGACACCAGGAAAGATGCCAATTTCAGACCACTGCACTACACAATATGGACACGACCGACTTATAGAAGAGGAGTCTATACTAGACTGCAGGCATATAAAGAATTTTCATAACACTACATTTTACATTTTGTGACTTGAATGGTTCCATCTTTAAATTGCTGAGAAAATCCTAGAGATTTACCCTACATCGAGGGAAAGAAAAGAGTTCAAACCATACCTGAAAACTTTGTGCATATAGCTTAACAAAAAAAACTTCCCCCCACTTTTTTGGGGGGGTAGAAGTGGAATTAATTAGTACAATTCAAGTAGTTCAATTAGTGCCATTTCAGGCAACATTACAGATGTTCTGGGGTGACATTACATGACCATTTAATTAATTTCATGGTATAAAAGTAAGTAGTGCACATAAAGCTGTGTCCAAAGTTATCTGCATTATTCAGACCTGCTGTCTCCCAGGAATTGTGTTTTCAGGAATGCCAAAAGCATTACCAGATGAACTTTGTGCCCTCTAAAGAATGCTCATATTCATGAAATAACACTGGGTTTTAGATGCAACTTTATCACCCATCTACAGTTCTATCATCATTCCTTTAACAAAGTATGGTTTGGATCCAGATCAGCTGTTCTGCTGATGGAAGGATTCTTTTATTTTATGGAATCCAGCAGAGCTGCTGCAGGGGAAAAAATTGATTGGTTTCCTCTTTCTACCTGCAGATCCTAATGATATTTTTTTTATCATACAACACTAGCAACTTCTAACCCTCCAAAAGGTTTTTTTTTACAAATATAGGAAGGAGTTAGGTAGATATTACCCTCTCTTTCTTCTAAAAAATTGGGACTACTGATTAGGAATACTGGATTATTATTTTTTTGTGTGACACACACACTCACTTCATAATCATGAGCTTTTGCTTGATAGTGGTTATTAAACTGTTAATGCCAATGTCTTTGTGCAGCATTTATTACTGGAAACATAAATTCTTAAGAATCATTTGACTCAGCAATCCATATATTTGCCATTTATCTTTACCAGAACATCTGTATTATGGCTTTAACAGCATTGGCAAGAATGGTAAATCTGTCATGGTTTTCTCATCCATTCTATTAATATTCACAAAATTATGCTTAGTAGGCAATATAAATATTATCAGTAGCATATATGTGTATAATATAAGATGAATGGATATTTTTTTCCACTAGTACATGTAAATGTATGGATTCAGAGCATATTATGCCATATTATACTTGTCAGTTGGTAACAACTCTCCCAAGACTTGCAGAATAAAATAATCCCAAGGCATTTTGGAATGTAAACATCAGGAAATCTGTGCCATTCTACAAATAGAGAATATGTTTTATTATCATGCTGTTTTAACTTGTTTTCCGTCCATCATCCAGAATAACCATGAGATTTGAATATATTCTCCTTTACTAGTGGAGAATGCCAAGCCCAAATCATATAATCATACAGTCAGAGGAGACCTTAGAAGTAATCTAATCCAACACTCCATTCCATACAAGATCAACCAAAGCTATCTGACAGATGACCAACCAGCCTCTGTTTGAAGCCCTCTAGTATATGGCAGCCTGTTTTATTGACATACAGAATATTAGGAACTGCCTCCTCATATCTACCCTAATTCCACTTCCTTGTGGTTTTAATAACCCTTTGTTTCTAATCCTGTCCTTTGGAGAAATAGAAAATAACTTCATTTCCTCTTCCATGTAACAATGCTTCAAATATGTGCATAGAAGAACAACAAAGATGATTAGGGGACTGGAGGCTAAAATATATGAAGAACAATTTCAGGAATTGGGTATGTCTAGTTTAATGAAAAGAAGGATCGGGGTGATATGATAGCAGTGTTCCAATATCTAAGGGGTTGCCACAAAGGGGGTGGGATCAATCTATTCTCCAAAGCACAGAAGGCAGGACAAGAAGCAATGGATGGAAACTAATCAAGGAGAGAAGCAACCTAGAACTAAGGAGAAATTTCCTGACAGAACAATTAATCATTGGAACAATTTGCCTCCAGAAGTTGTGGGTGCTCCAACACTGGAGGTTTTTAAGAAGAGATTGGTCAACCATTTGTCTGAAAGTATAGGGATTCCTGCTTGAGCAGGGAATTGGACTAGAAGACTTCCAAGGTTCCGTCCAACTCTGTTATACTGTTATTTCCCAATACAATATCTGAATTTGATCACATAGAATATTCTAATGGAGGTCTTGACTCTCTTAAATGCCTTAAAGAAGAGGTGGAAGGGGTTGCAGGCACAGAGTCTTAGACAACAATTAGAAGATTCAACATTTTCTGTTATTCTGTTGCTTGAAGACTGCTATCATATCTCCCCTACCTTTTCTAACCACACCCAGATCCTCTAACTATTTCTCATAGTGCTTGGTCTATGTCTTCCACCATCTTGGCAATGCTACTCTGAATTTGCTCTGATTTGTCCCTGACCATTTTGAATTATAACTATAGTATTGCCAATGATAGCAAAGTAGTGTGGAATATGTGTGGAAATCCCACTTGTCCAGTATTGTTATAACAGATTGTTTTATACATACTGTAGACTTTGTGACTATTTCATAAATTGCACTAAGCAATTGAAAATCAAAATTTTTCTTTTTTTTTTGTTTTGAAATAATTGGACTTACTGGATTATCTATTTTGTCAGAATTTTATAAGGGTCGTCTGGGAATGAATTCAATGTTTCTTCATGAAGAAATGAATACACAGCCAACATTTATAATGAACAATTTCAAGGCAATCTTCATGGGCAGCATATTTTCTCCTTTGGAGGTATTTAAATATTGAACCATAATTATCGGTTGAACAGAATTACAAATTAAAGTTCTGGGGGTTTTTTTTGTTTCTGACCCACACTTCTATCTAATGTGTCGGGAATGCAAGCATAAAAGTATAATCTATACTGAAATTCATACTGAAAATACTGTTGTTTTTATTTAGATGTGCCTTGTTTTTCAACTGATAGTGATAATTGTACTCATCTGAAGTGAACATTAAGTGACCTGTATATTACCAATGAATTCTTTATGTATTTATTTTTTAAAAAAAAAATCCCATTAGCATCTGTGCATCATTTGATCTTTTAAAAAACAGGCCAAGAGATATGTGGCCCTCAAAAGCTACACATGACAGCTTTTCTTTGTTATATTCTCTGTTAAGCCATTCTTAATTAAAAATGACTCCTTTTGTGGGAGTTTCTGAATGCAGAAACATTGTAGAGCAGGGGTGTCAAACTCGCAACATCACGTGATGTGTCACGATATATCGCCACTTTTTTGCCATTGCCGGCAATGGGGTGCGTGCGGTTTTGCTATGATGCATCCGGCCCGCAGGCCGGCATTTGACATCCCTGTTGTAGAGTCTTTAAATATACTACAGGCTATGGATCAATTTATTTAGAATTATTTAAATATTTAAATATTTTTTTTAAAAAACAACAACACAGCGCTCAAATTTATGTAGGGCATACAATTCTTTGTCCCAACTGTATTTTTCTTTCCAATATAGATAGGAGTTCAAATACAAAGAATAAAGGAAATCTCAGAGGTTCTGCAACAAGTTAACAAAGGTCATGATTCACAGCAACCTCAGAAAACGGTAAATGGGCAGCAGTGAATTATGCCATAAATGTTTTTTCTGAGAATAATACCTTCCATGTTAATCTACCTGAAATGTGTAGGGGAGCTATGGAATTTTCCAGACTAGTCAGAACTTCCAAAATCAACAGTCTCTTCCTTTTTGTCACTTCTTTAAAAAAATAAAATCCTGTAAAGTTTGCCTTCTGCAGCTCCATTTTCAGTTCTTTAGTGAGGGGGTTGTCATGGGTTTTTTTTAAACTATACCCTGTTTGATTGACCCAAACTCAAAAATTCATCATAAGACTAGATCGTAGACTATTGGATTCTTATAACTCCTAATAAGGATTGAGGAAATGCTCTGTTTTGAAAAATATCCAAGGTACAAAACTGAAAGATACAAATATATATGTGCAATTTATTTCTATGTCTTCTGCATTATACTACATTTCTATTCTACTTATACGATACAATGTTTTCTATACTATATTCTATCACTACTTCTGTTATACTATATTCTATACTATTATTTGTACTTCTGTGCTACTACTATACTATTTCTACTGCAAATATATTATCACTATTACTACTATACTTCATTTATCTGTATCCCATCTTTATTATTTGCACAAATAACTCAAGGCAGCTCTCAAGGGATATTCCGCATATCTTCCTCCTCCTATTTTCCCCACAACAACAACTTTATGAGGCACATTGGGCTGAGGGAAAGTGATTGACACCAAGTCACCCAGTTGGCTTTCCTGGCTAAGGTGGGACTAGAACTCATGGTCTCCTGCTTTCTAGCCTGGTGCCTTAACCACTAGACCAAACTGATTCTTTAATCTACTACTCTACTCTACTCTACTCAACTCAACTCTACTATTACTGTATATAACAGTGTTTTAACTTTTACAGACCCTGATCTGCCTTTACATCCCCCCTCCAATTTCTTCTATTGTCAATTTTTCCCTCATTAATGAACAGCAGGTAAAGTACTTAATATTGGACTTGGCTTGGCTGTGCTTCTCCATTCATTCATTCATTCATGGACCCTTTTACTTCTATCAAGAAAACTCATTTTATTTGGCTGTTTTCTATTTCTTGTTATTCTACTGCTGCAGAACTTCCCAAATATATCTGTCTTCCATTTGTCCTCCATGTCTTCTGTCCCACCTCTTTCAAGTTTATAAGCAATTCTGTAGTGTTGACGCTGAGGAGAAGCTCAAACAGGAGGCAAGCAAAGCGGCACAGATGTTTTGCAATTTTTTCTTCAGTTTGCTTTTCCATAGAGGTCCTTTTTATAAATATCTATGTTTATTGTGATGCTTATTTTTGCACATTGTTTAATTTAAAAAAAGGATACTGTATGATGCTCGGCATACATAAATGCAGAATCAGGATGCATAACCAAGTAAACAATAAACATTCTAATTTCTACTTCTTATCAAACAGCCTTCTGACCAGAAAACCACAACAGATGAGTCGATTGCTCTAGAAGTATATGCCAAAATATTTGACCAGGAGATCGTAACTGAGTACATAAGGATGGATAGAATTCGACAAATATTACAGGTGCCTTTTTTACCTACTGTTTTCACATTTACTATTAAACTATTATCTGCTCTTCAAGGTCTTGAACATTCATATTTTAAATATTATCTAACATTCATATTTTAACAATGTCAAAATATTGTTGACTTATGATGTAATTCCATTGGCAAGTTTTTGTTTTGGGGAGCAATTATTCCAATAAAGTTTGTATCTGGCTATCAGATTTGCTTAAATGAATCAAATCAATTTTTGCAGGCAAATCATGAAAAAGGACATCTTCCTTGGATAAAATATCTTATAGATGTCCTTAAAAATCTTCCAAATATTCACTGGCAGAAATATTTCATGTCTGCAGAAATCCAGCGTATTGTGCCAACCTGTACTGGGCTACCTTGGCAAATAGGTTTGGTCCATATTGCTCACACAGAAGTTTCTGGAAATGGTAAGGCAATATGTTTTATTCATTATTACATATATATACATATGTATATGTGCATACATATATAAAAAACAAACATTAATGTATGCATTGATTTATTTTCTTTCATTTAAACAGTTCAGTTACTGATGACCCCAGAACCAACATCCCAAATCACTTGGCCTGACATAATTAACAGTGATATCAAACTGAAAACCAGACTGAGACTTCGGTAAGTACAATCAATGTCATCTAAAGTCATCATTTAAAAAGAACATTGTGCAAAAATGCCTGGTATCATTTATTCCTCAGCCATTACAAAATGTCAGACAATCTGTTGTTTTCTTTGCTGTTTCAGGATGAAGAAGGACATGATCTTAAACACGGGAATTATTACACCCGAAATTCATGCCCTTCTGGAAAAAAAGGCCACATTGACAGCAAACATCCCCATAAATATGGATGTTGCTGTGAATATTAAAGAAAAGACCTTTGAACTTGAACTTCCACCATGCAAGGAGGAAACAGACATAATTTCTCTAAGGTAGGCTCTTGTTACACTCCTTTTGTTGCTTTTCTAGTTTTTATATGCAGATTTAGATATATCTATACTGGAAAACTAAATCAGTTTCAATAAGGTAGATTTATAGAATTTATCCAGAATAGATTCAGTGTATTTAGACTAGACTTGTCAAACTCGCGACGTCACGTAATGTCGCGCAATGTATCGGGATAGTTTTGCCATTGCCGGCAATGGGGTGGGTGTGGCTTCCGGATGACGTGTCCGGCCCACAGGCCGGCAGTTTGACACCCCTGATGTAGACTGTTGAAAAATACACCTTAAGAAGTGCTTTCATTTTAGTTTTAAATCGTATGTTGTTGCAATCATAACAGAAGATGTCACATGACCACAATAATTTACGACAGCAATCTTGGCACTCTACATTACAGTCATTAACTGGGAATTTCATGTTATTAAGTGACTACGCACCCCAATCTAAGTTTTCCTAGCTTCAGCATCAGCAAGATTAGGGTATTCTTCCAACTCTCCTTACTCACCTATCCCCCTCCTCATCTCTGCCTCTGATTACTTCCAAGATCTGATCATGGAGTTTAAACTCCTTTTAATGTTAGAAAAGTATCTCTTATTCAGTCATAGTCACTGAATGGAAACCAAACGGAATTATTTTTCCTTTTGGTTAGTTTTGTCTAAACTAACTATGTCTTTGAAGTCCTTGGGAGAAATGGGAGATCTCAGCTGGAAATCCACTCAGCATGGGAGATCTCAGCATCAAAATCCACTCTAAGGCAAGTTTTCAAGGTTTTCTGGAATGCCACTAAAGAGGAGCCAGCTAAATCTCTGGGGCCTCTTCTCACATAATAATAATAATAATAATAATAATAATAATAATAATAATAATAATAATAATAATAATAATAATAATAATAATAATAATAATAATAATAATAATAATAATAATAATAATAATAATAATAATAATATAAAAATAATAATAAAGTTGGAAGGGACCTTGGAGGTCATCTAATCCAACCCCCTGCTTAGGCAGGAAACCCTGTACCATTTCAGACAAATGGCTGTCCAGTCTCTTCTTAAAAACTTCCAGTGTTGGAGCATTCACCACTTCTGGAGGCAGGTTGTTCCACTGGTTAATTGTTCTAACTGTCAGGAAGTTTCTCCTTAGTTCTAGGTTGCTTCTCTCCTTGCTTAGTTTCCACCCGTTGCTTCTTGTCCTGCCTTCAGGCGCCTTGGAAAATAGCTTGACTCCCTCTTCTTTGTGGCA